TAGCAAACAGGACAAGGAAGGTGGCTCAAGTATCCCACTTTGGGAAGGACTGGGGAAAAAAGGTGAAAAATTTGAAGAACATTAAGAAGCATTCAGCAGGCTGTGCCTTATCTTAAGGCTGCAAAAGCTTATGCAGGAGTAGCTCTGATGGTTACTCAAACAAATATGGTGCATAGTTAAGGGATGGAGTTCTCCCCTTTCTCACCGTGGCCTTGTCAAGCATAGGTTCATCAGAATTGATGGAGATACTGTAGTATAAATCCAGGCCTGGGAAAAGGAGTGAATGTCCCATTGCAGAAACATTGACAGCCAGCATCGAGAAATATTGAGAGCCCAGGAGATCTGTCCCAAGTTGCCAAGTTATTAAAAAACAGCGCTTCATAAATCCTGCACCATCCTCTGAAGCTTGTACAGGTTTCATGAAGCCAAAATGTCTCTGACCAGTGGCTGGTGATGGTGTCTGTGAGCTGGTACTGTCTGAGATGAAAACAGGTTGGAAAGTAACTTCATGAAAATCGCTGTTGTGATATTGAGGCTGGCAAACCTTTGGAGGTGTAACTTTGGACTGCTGATATTAGGGAGAGAAAATTTGCTCAGCCCTTCTTAAGCCTAAGTACAGTGAGGTGAGCAAGGATACCTGGGCCAAATTTATTCATGCAAATGGAGTAGTTTTTCCAGGTTCAGCAGGCAAATGTCCAGTTTACCTGCCCCCTCCCCTCCTGTGTTTGGCAGTGAATGCAACAGGGTCACAGTTTCTGGTTGCAGTGCGGGCTCAGTGTGGCTTTATTTGCCTGTGCCACATTCCCATGAATTGCAAAGACATTTTGGAGGGAGCAAACAGAGAGAGAGATCTTCAGAAGAAGAAGGTGGCAACAGGTTACTGAGGTGGAAGAACAGCTTCGTAATGGGCCATGTTGGTATCTTGGCTGTGTCCCTGCTGGGACATCAATCTCCTGCACAGCCCTTGCCTGGTCCCCTGATGTTTTCCAGTCCCCCTGCCCAAGCAAACAAACCTCTTGCCTCTCCTTGTAGGTAGGAAAGGACCTGATGTGAGACCATCCCTTGCTCATGGTGCACCCAGACCAGAGGGGTCTCAGCAACTTCTCGGGCTTTTGCTTCTTAAAGCGCTAAGTGGAGGGATCCCCAAACCCCACGCTGTGGGAGAGCCTGGAGAAGTGATTTTCACCAGGGCACAGCTACGCTGGTTGCAGTGAGAATATTTAATTTCAAAGCCCTACAGATCAAATGCAGATGGGGGGTGGAGCTGTGCTTATCTCTCGCCTTGTCCAGAAGTTTGAACAGCAGAGCAAACGATTTGATCGTGTTTTTATTGTGCTTCTCCCCCTCTCTTCTATCACGGAGCTGTAAACCGGGGATAATCTGTAATTCTCCCAGCCTAATTGTGCTGCCCGGCCACCTGAGCGTCATCACCTCGCCGGGAAAATGCCCTCCATCTTCCCGGCTCTCCAGAGCCGCTCGGGGACGCGGGGCGTGTGCCGGCTGCCTTCCCAGCTGGCTGCCGAGTCCTGAGCCCGAGCGTTCCCCGAGGTAATCATTTACTGGGATGCTAACTGGGCCGTCCACAGAGTGAATTAAAAGGACGTTCCTCCACCAGATCGGGAGCTGCGGGAATCCTGTGGCTGCGCCCAAAGGGTCTGTGTGTGTGTGTGTGGGGAGGGGGAATCGCGGAGAAGTAACTGGAGGCTGGGAGCCTGTTTGCGAGGAAATTAAACTAAGAATGTGTAGAAAAACAGCCGTGGGGCTTCACATTTCAAACTCAGAGTGGTATCCAGTAGGTCTGAAAAGCTGTTTAACACTTGAGCCCTGGCAGACTGCAGAATCTTATTTTCGCTGAAATATTAGTGCTCTTCCCCCCCTTCGTTATAACAAAATGAAATGGAAAAGTGACCATTTGCTTGATTCAATCCAACTAAAAACCAACCGCAAACACGCAGTGGTGGGCAAAGCATTGCTTTCCCCATTTCTTCCCCCCCCCCCAAAACATCCATTTTCAATGTTTTAACCCAGAGCTGCCTGTTTTTCTTTGAGTGACAGGGGAAAAAAAAAAAAAAAAACCAAGGAAAAAAACCCCACACGAACTTTAAAATCAATACTTTATATTGTCTGGGAAAAAAAATTATTTTTTTTTTTTTAAAGCTCAACACTTTTGATGAAAAGATGTCAGCCCTGCCCGGCTCCCCGAGGATGCTCCCTCTACGGGCGATGCTGAGGCAGCGTTGCTCCCGCTCCACACCACGTCCTATGCCAGAATCCCGTGGGTCAGCCCCGCACAGTGGGCACTAACACTGCAGGAGCAGCCGTGACTTCCAGACTGTGAAACTTTTAGATTAAATCCTCTCTTGTATTTTTTTTTCTTTCTTCTGTAGAATACGATTTAAAAAATAATCACGAAAATCTCTCATTTTCATCTGAAGCAGTAGGATGCTCTGGTAGCACTAGAGATGGTATCAGTGTGGGTGCAAGGGGCTGTGCAAAGGGATGGATGTGCTCATCTCTGAATGAAAATTTGCATCTCGTGATGAAAATCCAGGTTATTTGATTAGGAATGTGCTTCTGTATTTCTGCTCTTAAAGGAGTTTGGGGTTCAGTGACTGGTGGGGAAAGCTAAAGCCATTTGTACATCGTGGTGTCCCTGTCCATGGCAGGGGGGTTGGAACTTCATGATCTTTAGGGTCCCTTCCAACCCAAACCATTCTGTGATTTTCTGCTCCGCACTTTGGATTTACAGCTGAAGGGCTGAAGGCGCTGACAGTGAGCTCATTGTTCCTTTCCACTGCAGTCATGGAGGGGAACTGGCACCTCTGCCTTCACCACAGCTCTCACCAAGCTGTGGAGGTGGCAGGACAGAGCCCAAAGGTAAGGACACTACTGGGTCTTCGTTGTTTGCAAATGGCTCTGGAAAAATTTGTGGTGGCTCCAGATGTTCAGTTTGGTTGACCTAAACCAGCTGTTGACTGTTCAGTCAAAATTTAACAGACTCATATGGAATGCACAGGATTTTTCTATTTGGAAAATAGTGAATTTTAACCCTCTGTAAAGATCTGGAAAATGCTTCTACAGAGCACTGTGATGAAAAGCCAAAATTTCAGAATCACCATGAGAATGCACATAAAATGCTATGGAGATATTTTGATTCTGTAATATTGGCTAGTCATTAGAGTAAGTTCAGGGTCAAAGGGAGAAACACTGTGAAATCAAAAATTCCCTGCTTCTGTGGAAGATTTGGAGTTTGCCAAGGGCAGGAGATCTGCCAGAGCATTTCGCAGTGTGGAGCTGAGGCTCGGCGTGCTGGAGCAAAACAGTTGGTGTTGGGGGCAGAAGGTTTGATCTTGTAGAGAAAAGAAAGTTTCTGTTCATAGCTTTGCTGGTTCTGAAGGGAAAAGTTAGTGTATTTTCCTGATCTATTGTTGTTATCCCTCTCCAAGTGATGATGTGACAGCTTGGGCTGGACCAGAGCTCTTCTGCAGGGTAAAGGCTGGTTGTGGGCCACTGCAGGATGTGAAATACAGGCTTCAGCCTGTGACTATCACTCCTGGACTATTCCTCAGGTTCTTGGGGTGTTGAGGGAGGGACATGGAACACCAGAACTCTTTTAAAAATCCATGTCACCTGCTCTGGGGACAGCCCTGCTGTCCCCAGCACATGGCCCTGAAGGAGGCAATGATGGGACAGACCTGAGGGTGTCTGAGCTCAGAGATGTCCCTGACAACTCTGCAAGGCTGAGTTATGTGGAGTCGTCATGTTAACGTACAGCCAGTGAGAAAGATAGGAGAAATACCGCCACACAGAGATCCATATTTTTCCCCACTGAGTAAAATACTGTGTAATTTTATCTAGTTACTATAAAACAGTTTATACTCCTTGTTTATAAAAAAAAAAAAAAGAGAGAGAAAAAACCCCATATTTCACTTCTGCTACTGACAGGCTATGGAGAAAAAATAGATGTTTTTTTCTGCATTTAATATTTCAAACCAAGTAGACCCAAAAGAAAAGGCAGCAATTAACCACAAGTACCAGCAATGTGTTCCTTGTGTTTCTTCTCTCTGGATTTGGCTAGGAAAAATCAGTTCAGTACAAACTTATTTACAGTCGTGTTAAATCCTCTAGCAATTATTTTCCAGGCTAGGCAGGAAAGCAGTGCAGCTGCCATGCTCACCTTCCAGACCACAGACTTCTGAGATGAGACCTGCACTTCACATTTTGTCAGGATTTAAATCCTTTACAGGATAGTTTGGAAATGGCTAGCACATATCTGACCATATGTTGGAGTAAGTTTATACATATGCACAGGGAAGTAAATTTATAAGCCTGGCAGAACCCAAAAAAGGGGCCAAATGGTAAAAAGGGCATCTATTGTGGTGCAGGTTCTCTACCTAAGAACACATAAAGGTGCACATGTAGGGCTATGTATTTTCCCCCTTCCACTGACCTGCCCTGTGGCTCCAAGTGACAGAAGGAGAGAGACCTGAGCATCATCTTGCCCACATCTGAATCACCTTACCATTTGTGCTTGGCCTCTTGCCACCTAAATAACCCTGGCTGTAAGACCAGGGTTAGCTGAACCCTGAGTAGGAATCCAGCAAGGATACGCGGTTCCTTGCCTGCTGCCTCCTCCTCTGCATAGCCTGCACCCAGGCTGGCAGCATCCTGTGACTAACTCTTCTAGACTGGATTTCTCCAAGGGACGACCAGCGCTTAATTTGGCTGACTCTGCGCTCTGCGGGAGCTCTCATCCATGCCAGCTTGAGTCCTAGCAAAAACCCATCATCATTAGTCCTCGAAAGGAACAGCTCGGGTATTCTCCACCCCCGCTCCTGCAGGCTGGGATGTACTGTGCGTTCCCACAGACCGAAATTCCCCTGGTAGGCTCAATTACAGCAATCAGCCTTCATGCTCTTTTCAATGGCACTGCTGCCTCCGACTCCGTCCGGCCACCGCGGTGGGGCCGGGAGCTGCGGCGTTCCCACAGGTGTCGGGGGAGAGGACACGGCTCATCCAGCTACACCAGACCTGGGGGTAGGACTCTGTGTGGTGGGTACGTGGGTCCCACGGGCTTGTCCCTGAGGGGGTTGCCCTAATTGGAGCCATTTGGGATGTACCCTGTGCTTCGGGGAGGTGGTTAGAGCAGAGCGCCGAGCACGCGCTCTCCTTCGGCAGGGCCTTCGCTCCAGCTTGCAGCAGATTTGCTCTGGTGCAAGGCAGGGCTGGGCTGGGGAGGATCTGGCCAGTGTGCATTTCTCTTTGCTAACACTTTGGCAGCCTCTCAATGAACAAACCACTAGAAAACAAATCTGGAGCAGCCCTTGGCTGTGGTGGCCAGACCTCGGCTGTTAACTGGGCTGAAGAGTACCAGCTGCTCTGCTGCTGCCCCAGGGAGGAGAGGCCCTTCTGCTGTGGTCTGGGGACTAGAAACACGCCTGAACCAGCTCCTGCAAACTGAGATGGCTTCTAGACTCCAGCTCTGGATCCAAATCTGAATTTCATTGCTTTACATGCTGCCTGAACCGATGTCTTGGCTCCAAATATCTCTCTGCTCTAAAAGGGCAAATAATACAGTGGTGACAAACTTTTTTTCTGCCCATGGCTCTGTATAATGGTGACTTTGAGGTGCTCTGGCTTGGGCTTCCCTGGCTGCAGCCAGGACAGTGCTTGCATTTAATTCCCTTTTTCCACCCCCCCTGGCAGTGGGGGCCGATTGGGCAATGTGATCTGCCTGGTTTTGTGCAGCAAGGGGGGAATGTGTGGCTCATGGTGCTTGAGCTGTGGGTGCTTCCCCGTGGCAGGAGGAGCTGTGCTCAAGGGGGCTAAAGCTTTCCTGTGTGGGAATGGGGAGCCAGGATGGCTTTCCCAGCTCTCCCTGTGTTGCCCATCTGCCTGGCTTATCCCCAGTCCCTGCTGATGCCTGTGGACCCCTTCCCATATCTCCCTGATGCTCTTCTCCCGAGCCTGGCCCTCTGCCCAAGCCCTGTAACTTGTGTCTGTCAGGCCTGAGGATGTTGTGGTGCTGAGCTGTGTGGAGATGGTTTCTGGTTTGGAAGAGCAGCATGTAGGGTAGGTAATGCTGAGGGCTCCAGTCCCAGGAGGGGCTTGGTGAGGGGGGATGAGGACAGAGGAAGGAATGTGTCGTTTTGGCTCTTGCAAGGCATTAATTAACCTTTCTCAGAAAAGTACTGAACCTGGAAAACCTCTCACTCTCCCTGTGTTTTCTAGTGGTGCCTGTGCAGCAGAAGTGTAATGCTGGTGCTCAGACACCAGCTGTGGTCACGCAGGGCTCTGCATCTGCTGGGTGAAAAAAGAGATATGCCAGTTATAAATTGGAAAGGTTTGGTAAATGAAATTTATTTTCCTATTTGTCTAAATTTTGCTGGTGTTTCATAGTTCAAAAGGCATTGCTCAGATTTGCTGTGGGTTGAAAAGTAAGGGAGGAATCTGCTTGTGTCACACAAAATTTTCTCCATCCTCTTCAACTGGGAAACACTGGGTCAGCTGCTCACAGCTGGGTTTGCCTTTTGTGCCTGTGGCTGCAGTGGTCCCCACTTGCTGGCCCATGGGCTGTGAGAAGCAGCAAGAAACATTCAGGGTGTTGCAACATTCTTGCCTGTCCCCAGTGGGAGAGGACACAGCCATCCCTGGATGGAAGGGTCCAGTGACACTGAGCCATGGCAGATGTGTTGCAAAAGTCTGGGGGAGGGGCAGGGGGAGCGAGGAGGGGAGAGGAGATGGGTCAGCCCAAATTTTGAGCAGTCCTCAGCAGCATCTCTGAGCCCAAAGCTGGTCTCAGAGACAGTCATCATCATGACCCCAAAGCTGTTGCAGTAGGTGGGCTTTGAGTCATGTTCCCAGTGAGCTGGTGCTCAGCTCCCACCCTGCTGCTGTCTCCCACCTCTTTTCTCCTAGGATTCCCCTCCTGAAGCCGCCTCAACCTGCTGTGGCACCTTCTGTCAAACGCTTCACACGTTTGTCACCAAAATGTTTTGGCAGCAGCAGCATCTCTAGGTTTTGACATAATCCCGACAGGAGACTTTCTCAATTATTACTAATGGAACATTATGCTCCTCTTTGGGAACTCCTGCATGAATAAAAAGGGTCATTAATGACATCTGCGCAGAGCCCGGAAATTATTAGTCAATGCTTATACAGTTTTATTTTATTTTTTTAATTTTTACATATATATTTTCTTAAGCTCCCGGTAATTTCCCATCTTACCTCCCACCCCCTTCTCCAAAGTCTCCCATGCAAACTGGAGCTGAGCTGGGTTATTGTCAATGTTCTTGCTTTTGTGCAGGTAAATGCTCTTCCCCTCCCACCCTTCCTTCCCTTTTATTCCCTCTTGGCTTCTTTAAAGATTGTAGCTCTTGTTTCAGTCCCAGGAGATCCCGTTGCACCTTTCTCTGGGCTTGATTTTATTGCCAGGCAAGCTCAAATACTTCTTGGACTTGGAGAAATCAGTATTGCCCTGGTCCTACCAAGGCAGTGCTGGAGAGGGAGCAGTAGGACTGTGTCCTGCTGCTTGTGGCCATCAGGGTGGCCTGTCCCCTCTCCTGCAGGATGCTGGTGGCACACAAGGGATGCTGAGAGAGGGACTGTAGGTGTCTCCAAGTACCATGTAGGGTCATGCAACAGGGAAGCTCCACTTGGATCATTTTAGAGGACTTACTGGACACCAAACTATTAGGTTTTTTTCTGTCCTTCTGTCAGATATTCAGTTCCCTCTGCTCCATACCCCTAAAAGCTGCCCAAAGAAGGATTTTTCTTTATTTTTTTTTCCAGCATATTGCAGCAATCTGAGGAACTGGTACCCCCTGTGACAGAGCCCTACAGAGATGTGACAAAAAAAGGTGTCTCTGCCCTGAGCCATTTCAAATGGCTCTGCAAGTCAGGGCCACCGAGGAGGTGAGAGACACAGGGCTGTGCACGGTGGGTTGGAAGCTGCATCTGTCCCGTGTCCTGTGTTGATAACAACACGTGGGTTCGAGCCCTGGGCCAAGGGCTGTGCCAGTGGCACGTCCAGCAGGATAAAACTCTCAGGTCGTTCCTTTTGCTGCATTCTTGTGCCAGCACATGTGGTTTGGAGGCACATGTGGGGTTGGGTTTTATTCCCAAAGAGAGGAGAGTTTTGGGATGATGGTTAGACTTTCGGTGGGATCCTTTATGGCACGTGGTAGAGGGGAAAAGCTGCTGTCTTCATTGCTCTAAACTTGTTTTTCTTTTCTGGGTTGATATCAGTCAAATATGCTGCACAGAAGGTGAAGATGGTGTTGGTCCATACCCAGCAGGGAGAATCTTGGTGTCCTGCAGCCACTACAAGATGTCCATCTCTGTGGTGAGTGTCTCTAATGCTGTTTGATGGGAGACTCTTCCCGAAGCCATCGACTGTGACCAGGGGAGATGTGGCCGCTGTGGGGCTTGACTTGCTCAGCAAGGCAAAGGGCACCACCTGGGAGAGGGGTTTGGCCCAGGTGGGAGATGTGACTATTCTCCCATGGGATACCTGGGGCCTGGACTCATTGCAGAGCTGCAGCAGATCCCTGGGGAAGGTCAAGCAGGGATCACCAGCCTCAATTCAAACCTGGCTCTTGGGGTAAAAGGTCGACGCAGTAACTCTGCAAAGAAAACTACTAAACAAGAAATAGACTCCTTTAAAAAAAAAAAAGTCCCTTGGAGAAAAGATATTTCAACCCCTTTTTGATTTATGACCTACTATAGGATATTGAGACGTTATTTACAATCGATATACGCTCCTGCAAGACTCCCGCTGGAGCCATAGACCCCGCCTGTTAGAGTGGAGACTGGTCAGCCTGCTCCACTGGAAGTGCCAGCCATGTCCTGCTGGAACAGGCTATAAACCTGCATGCAGCTGTATATCTTTCAGAAAATGGACCTGGTTACACATGTCTTTGGGCAGCTGACACAGGGATATAGTTTAGGGCTAAGACAGCAGTTCAGTAGCAGAAATCAGCATTCCTCAACCTTGCCAATAATGAAATCTCTTGCACAACATAGAGAGCTCCATGGCCTTAAAGGTGCAAAATGGAGTTGTTCACTTGACTTATAATGGAATTGGGCCAATTCTGAAGCAAGCGCTGGATTTTATTCTGGGATTTTATCTTTAAAGGGGGATTTGCAAACACTTTAAGGGGGGGGGGGTAGGAATTCATTCCGCATAAAATTGCGTCCTGGCCGCATTCCAGTTTGGGTAATTACGCTCTCTTTCTGTAGTGGCTGCAGGACAAAGGGCCATTCATCACGCTCCAAAGTGCTGCAAAAGGCTCCCGTGTTCCACCGGAGAAGTGCCTGCATTTGAATCCAAGCGAGAAAGTTTTCTCCCGGTGCTCCAGGCCGCTCCGGAGAGTAATGGAGCTTGGCGCTGCTTTAGGATCCTTTTGGGTGAGATATGGGGGCAAGCACCTTGTCATGCGCCGCTCAGGCTCCAGCATATCTGGGTAAGTAGGGCGCTCAGCAAAATAGATTCCTTCCAGCCTCCCGTGGCTCGCCTTTCACCCCGAGGACATGCTTGTCTTTGCAGAGTGCCACTGGAGCTCCAGGGGATCTCTCTCTGGAGCACAGGAGCTGGATTCCCTCTCTTCAAACCTCCCATTTTGGAAATGCCTATAAGCAAGAAACTGGGTCGCATCCAGCTAAGCAGGGCTCAAGGACTTGCGGTGCACTCAGAAGTGGTGCAGGGGAGCCTGGAAGGGCGCGGGTGCTCTGCCTTCCTCCTCTCAGGTCTCCATACAACCAGAGAAGAAATATTTGCAACCCTTACTTCAGCTTTCCAGCTTAGGGAGAGTCATGCTTAAGCAGTGGACCACAGTTTTCAGTGGAAGCAATAGAGCATTGGTTATTAGGAAGTAATTCTAAACTGTGAGGGTGGTGAGGCCCTGGCACAGGTTGCCCAGAGAAGCTGTGGCTGCCCCATCCCTGGAAGTGTCCAAGGCCAGGTTGGACAGGGTTCAGAGCAACCTGGTCTAGTGGAAGGTGTCCCTACCCGTGGCGTGGGATTGGAAAGAGATGAACTTTAAGACCCCTTCCAACTCAAACTGCTCTATGATTCTAGGATTCCTTAGCTCCCTGGTAGCTCTGTTTGCAGCCATTCTCTGTGGAGGCAGAGTGAGGCCCCACAGTGGCAGCCCCAGTGCTCAGGTAGAGGCCAGTCAAGGAGGCAGCAGCAGGCACAGCAGCATCCCCGCAGGGTGAAGGAGCATGTCTGCATGCCACCCACCAGCTGACCTGCCAGGGAGCATCCTTGGCCTGTGTGCCTTGAGAGTGTCCCTTTAAAGCAATTTGTAGACTGTTATCCTGTATCATTAACCTAATTAGTGTAATTGCCGCCATTTATGTAATGAGTATAAATACTGGAGGAATCCCATAATTAGGAGATGTAATTAGGTAATTAATAGATGACATGGTAACAAAAATCCAGGGGAAACTTTGCAAGGTGGACACTGTGTGTTTCTCTCTGTGTGTGTGTGTGTGTGTGGCTGTTCCAACACACCAGTCTTGCCAGGGTCTGTCACAGAAATGCTCCACTGTTGGCTCCAGCCTGGAGCCCCTCTATAGTCCATGGGCAATGTAAAGGGACCTTCAGGTGATGTGAGAAGGCTCTTTTGAATCTCTACAAGTGTTGCAGAGGGAAGCTGGAGAGCCAGGATTTGGTTAAGGATAAGAGTAGAGCTGTGGCCATTGCCTTGCCATAAAGACATGCTTTGCTTTGAGATCCTGGGAGAAGCAAGGTGAATTTAGCAGAGGTCTGAGGTGTTCCCCAGCCCTAGCCTGGCTTGAAGTGCTGTTTGCCCCATAACACTTCTCTGCTACAACCAGTGCTGGAAATAGCATGACAGCCAGCTCCTGTGCCAATAGCTCGCCTGACTAGAGGATAAGGAGCCTCAGGGTGTGCTCAGCTGCCTGATAAAAGTCCCATTTTACTTCTCCTGTGGGTTTGGCTTAGAAAAGTGATTGGAGCTGGAAATTGCGTTTGGACTGTGAAGAGCTGATAAAGTTCCTGCTGTGCCTGAGGAGCGTTATTTTAGAGCTTCATGAGTTGAGAGTGTTTCAGCTGGACCCTTTCTAGTCGTTGAAGTGTTGATTTTTTCCTACTGCTCTCTGTCTCTTGCTCCTCAAAGCCTGTTGGTGCTTCTAGAAAACTTACATGTCCAGATGTGTCTGAACAAAATAAGTTGCAGTTAAGGAAAGTTTTTTCTTGGATTTTTTTTTTTTGATGTGTTGTCGTTGTTGTTGATCATCTGGATTCCTGGTTGGCACCTGCCAGAAGGAGTCACTACCACCGGCTTTCAATACCTGAAAGAGGCCTAAAAGAGAGCTGGAGAGGGACTTTGACAAGGGCCTGTAGTGATAGGACAAGGGGGAATGGCTTTAAACTGACAGAGGGCAGGGTTAAGTTAGATATTAGGAGAAAATTCTTGACTGTGAGGGTGGCGAGACACTGGAACAGGCTGCCCAGAGAAGCTGTGGGTGTCCCATCCCTGCAAGTGTTCAAGGCCAGGATGGATGGGGCTCTGAGTCCCTCGGTCTAGTGGAAGGTGTCCCTGCCCGCTGCAGGGGGACTGGAACAAGATGATCTGTAAGATCTCTTCTGAGCCAAATGATTCTGTGGTTCTTTGATAAGCCATGAGTATCTCAGTGTAGGATGTCTTCTCTGCAGAGAGTCCTGGACTCTTTTCACACCACATTGACTAGCCTGCACTGGCTTATTTTGAAGAAGCCATCAACCTCATGCTTTTACTCTTGGTCTCTCTCGCTCCCTTTTGGAGTACGTCCTCTCCAAAAGATGAGCTGTTATGCACTCCTTGGAGGAGCACTTCAGCCAGCAAGAAGTGACCCCAAAACCTGCAGCACTGGGAGCACCAGCTCATGGAAGAGGTCACAGGGGAGCTTGTGCAGGAGTTGGGTGGTCAAAGGCTGCGGAGTCCCCAGGACCAGCAGCTAGAGGGAGATATGACCTCACGCTGAGGGCCAGCCTTGTCTATGCCGTGGATTCCTGTCGGAATGCCAGAGAAAATCCTCTTGCTTTCTAGTGTTCAGGGTTCATGTAATGAACAGCCGTAATGCAGACTTCATTACATAGCATAAGTAATTCTCGAGATTGAAGACTTTTGAAATGGCTCCTGATGAAACTTCTGCCAAAGTCTTTCTTAGTCCTTGTCCACCTTGGAAAGTTTTATCAGGTGTATCATGATCAGTATATGTAGGTCCAGTTACAGCAGGAAGGCTCTGTCTAGACACTTTCATTCCAGTATAAAGAGGGCCTTTTTTTCCTTTAGCTTAAATTCACATGCCCTTCACAAAATCAGGGCTTCAGCAGTGGAGGAGCCACTCTTTATGTAGCATTATGTTTGAATTCCCACTCTGCACTGCATCAAAGCCTACTCTGCCCCGAGGCCAGGAGTTTCTGCTCCTGCCATGGCCCTGGCTCATGGATGGGGAAGTGGATTGGTTTTGGGCAGTTGCTTGGCTGGAATCAGCTCTTTGTGCTCAAAGCAAACACATGGTCTTGCAGAGCACTTCTGCAGTCTTTCAGGTTAAGCCTCTCTGCTTCCCATGCTCCCTGTCCTCCCTTGTCCCATGCTCCCCATCCTTGCACTCCAACAGGATGTGTCCCATGGGGCACCATTTGCTGAAGTCTTCCTCAGCTGATCCTTTTGTTTTATCTAGGAAGCAGGTTTGGGGATTTGCCCTTTGAGACACAAATTTGCAGGAGCCAGGGTTGTGCTTTTGGCTTATTTTCCGTGTAGTGAGCTCCAAGTCCCAAATGATCCCAGCTTCAAACCTGTCTTGAGGCTTTGCAGACCCTTGACCCACTGGCTCTGCAGAGGTGCTCCATTTCCCACCCTGCAGTCACAGAGGGTGACTTTGATGCTGGCTCTCCAAGTGATGGACTATGAGGAATACCTGCCTCCCTCGGCCCCCGGCCATCACATGGGTGAGGATCATTGCCATTTCTACATTTTGCTCTCATTTTGCTCTTGCTGTTGCCCTCACCAGGCACTGAGTATTGATTTACTCTTGGGGCCGTGTCCAAACTACCCTAACAGAGACCTCCACTATGAGTGTGGAGCAGTTGTACTTTGTCTCTTGCTCTCTTTTTATGATGAAAACACTTTTTCCTGTGTTTCTGTCTCCCCTTTGAGGTCTAGCTCCACCTGAGTCCTGCCAAATTTCATTTTGTTCCTGTATTTCTTGGTTTCCAGATGTGTCTTCCTTTGCTGATCTCTCCCCCATGTCATCTTTTTCCCTTTGTAGTCCTGACGCTAATTGTGAACACACTTTTCCTATAAAACGTGGTTCCTGGCTCAAAGCCTTGCCTGAATGGTTGTCCCACCTGCATTTCAAACTCTAACTAAAAAAAACCCAAATAATTAAAATTTTCTCCATGTTCAAATCCTCAAGCTCTTCAGTCACACTGAGTGAATTAACAGTGTTGTGGTTCTGGCCTAGCTTTGTGCATCTTCTCTAGTGAGCTTGATTTATCTATCCAGGATTAATCTGAAGTTGTCTTCTAGAAATGGCCAGCTGTTCTTCAAAGCTGTGGCCAAACAGGCATTTGAGGAAAGCCTCAGATATGGGTAGAGACCTGGGTGTAAGGAGGCTATTGGGAGCAGTTGTCTGAAGGAGGAAGAGGGAGCAAAGCTTTAACTGGAAGCAGTGAATTATGTTCCTCTCTAAGATTTGTCCTGGTTTGAAGCGAAATGGATCCAAGGAAGTCACGTGGTTTGTGTTAGACAAGAAGATCCTAATGTGGTCTTTTGTTTTTCCCTCTGAACTATCTCTGTCTATGGATTTGTTGGAAGACAGATTGCCAGGACGGTGTTACCAAATAATTATCCTGTGCCTCCTTATAGCAACCTTTGCAAGAAAGTGTTTAGACAGAGAAGCCACGTGAACTAGTCATTAATATCTTATAGGTCAGAGTTGCAGATGTTGCATTGTGATGAAATATGTATTTCTTCCTATTTCCTCGGAAAATGGGCTTGTGAGACAGAGCAAGATTTATGATGATCTTAATTAGTTATTTCCTAGCTTTCAAAATGTTTGGGTTTGAGAGATGATATGATAGACAATTAACTTGTTGTCAGAGACAGCGACTTTTAAAATGAAATGTTTGTTCTCAAAATATTATTTATCTCAATAAGCATCGCGGGCATGCTGTAGTACATACAGACACGGACGTATAGATAAATACATGGATAGGCATCACTGCAGCCACAGGAGCTGGGAGCATGGCTTGATGCTCCTGGGATGGACAGTGTCCCCGGGCCCACATCAGGCTGAGCAGAGCACGCAGAGGTCACAGCCCTTCAGTGGGGGTTGCTGCCTTGTGGCCGCTCTTCTTGCCATGCTTGTCCTTGCCCTCCTCCTGGAAAAGTGACCTGCAGAGGGTAAAGGGACTGGTGTCCTGCCCTGCCCTTTTCTATCTGAGTTTCTGTCTGAGAAAATGGCCAGAGACATTTTCACAGGCTGAGAGAGTTGGGGTTGTTCATCCTGGAGTAGAGAAGGCTTCAGGGAGACATTAGAGTACCTTCCAGTACCTAAATGGGCTACAAGAGAGCTGGAGAAGGACTTTGGATAAGGGCATGGAGTGATAGGACAAAGGAGAATGGCTTCAAACTGACAGAGGCCAGGGTTAGATTGGATTTTAGGAAGAAATTCTTCCCTGTGAGGGTGGTGAGGCCCTGGCACAGGTTGCCCAGAGAAGCTGTGTATTCCCCATCCCTGGGAGTGTTCAAGGGGTTGGATGGGGCTTGGAGCAAATTGGTCTGGTGGAAGGTGTCCCTCCCCATGGCAAGAGAGACTGGAATAAGGTGTTCTTTAAAGTGCCTTCCCGCCCAAACCATTCTATGTTTCTATGACAAGTACTCCAAACCAGTAAGTTCCAGGGACACTTGGCAGTAACATGGCACTTGTTAAGAGGTGGGGGGTTGTGAAACTTTTTTGCTAAACTAGTAAAACTTAAATGAAGGGAATTATATCTCTCGTTGCTATATCCCTCAAGGACAGAGAGGGGGTTGGAGATAACCTTCAGGGAAGGCAGAGGGCAGGATTGCACTGACCCCAAAGGATGCTGGATGTGGTCCCTGAAGCCGTGGCTGCCGCGATGCCTCGTTGCTGCGGGGAGCAGAGCTGCTGCAGAAGGAAAGAGGTCACCTGGAAGCTGATTTATTTTTTTTTCTTTCTCTTTCTTTTGCATGTTTTCATCAAAGCTTTATAAATAACAGACAAAATCCCTGGGGGAAAAAACCTCCCAACCAGCTGCCTGTTGCAAATACTCCAGGAAATGGGAGGTGGTGGGGGAAGAGGGAAGGAAGGCTAAATTTGGTGGCTTTTATTTTTAACAAGGGCTATTTCAGTTGGCTTTAAACCCATGTAAAAAAAAAAAAAATTAGAGCCATGGGAAACTTTTGCCAGAACCATAGGAGTCTGTGGAGCCAAGCACTTGCTCTGGCCAGCACGGCACAGACGCGGTGTCTGCGCCAGCCCCTGCTCCAGGATTTGACAGCTCAGACGCTGCCAAGGCCATCACAGGGACAGGGAGCTCAGGGACAGAGATGAAGCGATATATTTCAAGGCCTTGCAAGATTTCTCTAGCAAAGCCAAGAGAGGCTCAAAACTTTCCAAAGCAACCAAAGAGGGCATCTGCAAGTCCTTGCTTTTTTGCAGGGCTGTTGTACTTGGGTCCCTGGTGCAGCACAGTAAAGCTTAAGTTAATGAACCCAGACAGTCAAGCAGAAAGAAACCCCCTTCTTCTATGTTACTTTTTAAAAAAATTCCATGACTACCCTTCTCCTCCCGACTGGCCCTTGCTAAATCTTGCTGTTTGCAACACCTGAAGTCAAGGCGTATAAAATGACTTGGCAGCATCCCTCTAACGTTCCCCTGGCACTCTTTGGAGAGCAAGGGTGTTAACCTTGGTGTCCTGGCCGTGTGCCAGGGTAAGTAATTACATTCGGCCTCTATAAATTAGCCCCACGGTCGCAGCTGGGGAGCTGCAGCGTCATTTCCTCCCGGCTGCGCGATGCCCAACACGCTCCACCCGGGCACTGGTTGCATCCTGGTGCATGGACTGGTGGGGAGGAGAGGCATGGGGAGTGATGGGGGATTGCTCATGCTAATGCTTTGTTAAATTGCTCCGGGGTTACAGGTTTGGTTCTCGGTGCTCCTGTGTCCGGAAAGGGAGAGTGGAGAGCGCGGAGCCGAGTTGGATCGGGCTCCCTACCCCAACAGGGTGACCTGATAAATTGCCACCAGTCAGCTGAACCTCAGTAACGGCCTCTCGGCTCGCAGCTAAAATTAGCTGAAATGGCACGAAGAGAATTGCTGAAACCTCCACGAAAGTGATTTAAGCCGAAGCACGTGACCTCGCATTTGTCACGGGCCGGAGCACGCGCAGGCCTGCTGGCACAGCGCAGGTGATGTGCAGGAGCGTGTTAAGCCGAGGAGTCTCGATCTGTAAGTCTTAACTCCAGTAGCTGGACCGAATGCTCTAGCTGTGACCTCATCTCACATCTCTCCGTTCCCCAGCACTGACTCAGGTTAACTCCCTTCTGCCGGGACCCAGCTTAAAGGGTCTTCAGCAGGTGTCGGGTTACAGCTGGAATGGACTTCAGAGTGCAGGAAGGGTTAATTTAAGATTAGGAACAATGTGTTGGCCAACTGTGCTTATTTTCCAGTGCACATGCCAAGATAACCCTGTCCAGTCTGGGCTGAGATGGAGTGTGCTTACATGGAGGATGAAACCAACAGGGCGGGCAGGTCTAAGCAGGAGGAGATGTGGTGCCACGTTCCAGACTGTCTTGTCATTGTTCCTTTCAAAGGTCATCTGCTTGGTCTTTAATTTCCGAGATTGGGTGCTAAGGGCTTTGGGGTCACTGTGCCTTCTCTTCCATGAATCCAGCTGCCCCAGAGTGGGCGCCCTTCCCAGACTGGCAGCTCAGGCTGCAGCTCCTGTGGTTGCCCACTGTGGAGCAGTTCTACCTTTGCATGGCTGTTCTGTGTGTGGGAAAGGATTTCAAGAAACAATTGACCAAATGAAACCTCCGTAATGCTTCTAAATACTCAAACACATTAGACATGCCTGCCCAGCTCAGAGATAAATTAGAGCTATTATCACTAGAGCCCAGACAAACAAACGGAGGGCTCTCTCCAAACAAGCCATTCACTCAAGAGACTGGATTTACAAGGGTCAGGGAAGCAGCATGAGCTGCAGGCACTTGCTTTCTTTGGAAACCTGTTTAAATTGGCCATATTGATTGGTGCAGAAGGAGGGGAGAGAGCACAGCTCTGCCCTTCCAAATGTGGGGAGTCACCTCCGTGCAGGGACTGCGGTGCCGTGACGTACTAGCTGGCATTTTGCTCTCCATGTCTTCTGTCAAAACTGGAAGTCAGAGACTGATCCATTTTGCTTTTCTCCCATGTGATGGTTGGGAGATCAAGGTGTGCAGGAGCACATCAGGGATGCCAAGGCCACTTTGCCTTGCCCTTGGATTTTTGTGTTTGCTTCCAAGGAGGGATGGGGAGCCAAGCTGGTGGTAAGGTGGCACTAAGAGAGAGGCCAGTTCAAATCAGCATCTTGGGCATCAAGGAAACTGCCTGAAGGGGTAAATGGAAGCCAGAGCGTGTATTTTGGGCTGAATTTTGCATGGCAGCTAAAGGAAGGAAGGAGCAGACGCAGTGACAAAAAAGGAGTAAAGAAAAAGAGATGATTATTCTGCTTCCTTGCTGTGTTGGGCAGCCAGTGCTCTGGTGCAGGGTCTCCAGCACAGCTTTCCACGGTGTCCAGGAGCATCATGCTGGGGCTGAGTGTGACAGAGGCTTGGACTCAGAGCCCGGCTCAGGCAGGGTGTTTGGAGAAGGACCACAGTCAGAGCAGGGTTTCAGCTCTTGGCTGGGCCCCCTGGGCCAGCCTCCTTGAGACTGGGGGAGCCAGGCTGGGGGGAGAGGCTGGGCTGGGAGTTCTGCAGCATTATGACCCCTGCCCACTTGCCTGGCAGCTCAGGCCAGCGGCACCCATGGAGGCTGTGAGGGTGTTATTATCTTCTGAGAGATGCTCTTGAACACAAAAACTTGATCCTGAATCAGAGCGTCGCTTTTTGGAAGATGTCCAGTCTGCATGCACAACCTCTGACTGATGTTGAATTCGCCATTTCCCTTGGTAACCAGGCCTGGTGATTAACTACCCTCCCTGCTCAAAATTGTCTTTTATTTCTCATGCAAGGTTCTCTCACTCAGTGTTGTCAACTCCCACTATTTATTTTGGGTTTTGCTGCTTACTGTGCCTTTTACCTGTAAGCCTAATGAACATGCCAATCTCAGCTATTTTCACTCTGTGGGTATCTGGGATCAAGTCACGACGAAGATTTTCTTTGACTGCTGAGCAGACAGAGCCCTTTCAGTCTTTTGCAGGGTTGAGCACAGGCAGAGCAGAAGCTGTGCTCGCCACTGCCTTGAGCATCTCCCAGTGCGTGGGATTTTATTTAAAGTCCCAGCCTCTGGACTTGAGCCATTACAGGGACCTTCCACTCTTTTATTTTGCAGAAATCTGAAAACAATTACTCAAAAGAGAAACAAAAATAATTTGCTGGTTTATTTTTTTTTAAGGCATCAAGACTTCTGTGATGTTTTGGTTTATTGTGAGCAGAAGGGGTGGTGGGTGCTGGCTTGGTGAATAATTAGCAAAGCTGAGAACTTGCCAAGGAGACACTGTGGGCCTCAGGGGGTGTCTTCTTCCACTGTGTGTGGTTCCACAGGCAAGGCAGACATTGACCTGAAATTCCTACAGATCTTCTCCCTGCCCAGCACCAGGGTAGGTTTAGTTAATGTGGGTGGCCCGTATGACCTCGACATCTCTGAATTTCAAGTGTTCATCGTCTGCAGGTTTTTCTGCATTGCTGGGCAGGCTGAAGGGCACAAGTGGCCTCACCATCAGTGTCATGCACGTGGAGGGAGATGGAGTTTATTTTCCAGCTTCCTTCAAGGGTCAGAGGTCCACTGCGTTGTGTCAACCTCTCTCAGCTGAGCTAACGTGCTTCAGTAATCCCAAGACTTCAGATTTTTTCATCTTGCACTGTGTCTGTCACCCTCCCCTTATCTCCTGGCACTGCTGGTATAAATTAGAAGCATTTCAAAATGAAACAGCAAGATGCCTTGTTTAAAAATATTGAAATCATGTGTTTCCCCTTCCTTCATTCCTCTCTTTATATTTCTTCCCAGGAAAAAACCTATTTGTGAAGCTGGATATCCAGAGCCAGTAGTAGCTTTGGTGACTGAACCCCAGGTGGTTTTCTGTTGATTCAGAACTTCAGCAAGTCCTACTAATTGCAAGTCCTGCCCTTGCAGTGAAGCTTTGCCTCACTCACCATTTCCAGGCTTCAAGATTTGGGTACTGTTACCTGTCATTTCTGCTTCTAAAAGGACTCTGGAGACTGGGAGTTTGGGAGCGTTCTTCTAACCCCTGGGGATTTTGTGCATATGTGTTATCCTTTCCATAAAAGAATCAATCTGGTGGTCAGGCCCCAAAATGCTTGAGTATTTATTTAAAAGTAAAATAAAAAGCTGCAGCAAATAGGGGCTGATGTCTTAAGGGCTGGGAGAAAAAGAAGGAAGAATGGGTGTGTCCATGTGTTACACATCTACAGGTTCATGTGGCATCCTACAAGGTGAAGGAAAGTCGGTAGCATATGCCTGTGGTTATTGTATTTGCTTCTCAGTTATCATATGAGGCCTAAATTAGGATGTCAATAAAATATTCCATGATGGGCATGTTAAGACAGCTGTGCCTTGTGTTTTATGAAATGATTCGAGGAGCAGAGGAAGTGGGTTGTTCCATCTGGCACACTGATGAACCCTGGTGAGGATGCTTTGCCCCACTTTTCAGAGGGAGATGCTCGAAGATGCCCAACTCTGCCCCTGCCTTGCTACCCAGGCACTAAGGGTCAGAGGAAACACTGGTGGTGACTCAGTTCCTTGGAAAATTATCTTGCTTAGTTATGTGATGGCGAGGGAGAAGTTTGTGTTTAGAGGTCAGTGAATTAACGAATTAGAAAACAAAGACTCAAACCAATGTTCATTATTTTCTGAAAAGCAAATGCAGGCTTGGCTTTCATTTACTGCAGAAGCATTTAAGAGATTTTCCTAGCAGAGATCAGAGCTCCAGCTAGTGAAACCCTGTAAGAAAGAGTTCGTGCCTCAGGCAGGAGACAGACAGACAGTGCAAGGGAAACAGAAGCAGTGACTGGTATTTGAGCACGTTTACGGGAGCCAAAAAGCAGAGCTGGGACCGCGGGGCCAGCCCTGGAAACCCCAGGCCATAGAACCAACCTCCTTCCTCCCACAGCAATGCTCTTAACATTGACCAAGACAGGATCGTTCATGTGTTGCCCCTGGAGTCAGTGGCTGAAAAGCACTTTATGAGGCAGCAGAAACACAATGGGCTATTATTTTTAGACTAGAGCCATTCACACATTTTCTCTGCAAAGCGGGTACCCTCTCTCTTTGTTGTGTTTAGTTGTTTGTGCTGCCTACTATTCCCTGCCTATCCAGCATCTAGCAAAATGAGATGCTGATCTTGTCTGGGGAGGTAAAATATTGCAAATTACCCTCATCTGGAAACCCTTTGGGTTTGAACCTGAGCGCTGCACTCGTGCTGTAGCTCTGTGTCCAAACCGGTGGAGCTAATGACCTGAGACTGCAGGGAAGTTTGGACACAGGCTGCAGCTCTGTCTCCCGGTAATGCTCTCCTCAGTGGATTAGAAGAAGCTTCCCTGGCAAACTGGGAAGGAGTCCAAGCTGGGGAGCTGGTGTGATAGGAACTGACAGGGCTGGAAATTTGATTTCTGACTCTTTGTGCGTGTATTTCTTATGAAAGAAGAAGAGGGAGAGGGAGCCAGGAGTACTTTGAATCCTGCAATCATTAAAACCAATTCCACTTTTCCTGCCCCTGCCCACCTCCTGATATGTGTGTGAAACAATCTTTACAGCTACACAGCCATCAGATGGTATCGACCCGGCGGTGGAAATTGCTATTGACTGCTGCTGGTGCTGCTCTCTGCACTTCCGTGGCTTTTAAAGCGACACTCTTCAGGTGATTTCAGTTTGCACTTGATACAGCCTGGGAAGCACTGCCTGAAACGGGATGGGAAGAGCATGTGTGGGATTTGTGTATGCAACAAACACCGTCACTCTCCTTTAGTCAGGGGAAGGGTGTTTGAGCATGTGGGAAGAGATGCTTCTGCAGAATCATTCATCTGATAGGAAGATTCAGAAATTTGAGGTTTTTTTTTCTTTAGTCCATCATGAAATGATTCTTGTCTCCCACTACAGTTTTTTCCTACTGCAATTCCAGCACCAAGCCAGGACCATTCTTCTACCCGTACGAAGAATTCATCCAGTCCTACATCAGCTGAGGACTAGATACATTGATTTCTTGTTTTAAGGGGCACCTCTTATTCCATATTATGAATTCTCTCTCATCTGCTTTGGGTTCCAAAGAAAAAAAGTCAGGAAGCAATAATATTTGCCTTTGATGCAAGTGTTTCGTGCATCTTAAAAACCCTTTTGATCACGTATGAGAACAGGGCTCTGGCTTAGGACTGTAAAAATGCACATTTTTTTTCCTCCAAGGCAATTTAATTGATGGTGTTTGGTTATTCCAGTGCTTGGGTTTGGAGTTAAGTGGTGGTGAGGGGAGATGATAAAAAAGCTGTGTAAAAGCCAGGGTTAGAGTCTGATCCCAGCTCCACAGAGTAAATCTAGTGCAATGCCATTCTCATGATGCTGGTGGTCACTTGGGTTTCTGTGCAGTGAAGGTCCCTGTCCTACCTGCAGTGAAGACCTGGCAGATGCTGTCTTCTTCCAGAGCAGGCTGTGATGGTGAAGTCTCCCAGGGGCTGTTTTCTTCTGGGATGTTTCTCCAGGGCTGATGGCAGCACTGTGGCCTCCAGTCCACATGCAGTCCACCTGCCAAGCACTGGCTTGGAGAAGGATGAACATGCTTTGGGAAGTGACATTTGTCTGGTCAAGGAGTAAAGCAGGGAGCACCCTGCTGTGGTCTGACCTGTGCTCCAGACCAGGCGAAGCTCCTGCCTCTCTTTTACCAGCAAGTTGGAGGTGCTGTTATTAAAAGAATGGATGTTGCTCTTTCTCATAGAGCTCTGCCTTTGTTCTTCTTCCAGACTCGTGCCTTAGACTTCAGCCACATGGTAGTGCCCAGGAGCAGAGGCTGCCCAGATGTGTCCAGAGTGTATGTGCAAGGACTGCCCTTTTTTCTTATCTGGAACAGTGACTGCCTAAAGCTTCTGAGCCAGCCCCTTAGCTCGAATGCAAATAACCACTGCTATTAGCTCTGAGCAGTCCCTGACAGCCTTGATTTCAGGTCACAAGACTGGCAGGCTGCTGAGGTGTCAGGAGACATGCCTGGTATTTCCAAACTCTCCAGCCCAAGCCCTGGGAACTGCTCTGTTGGTTTACACCAAGCCTTGATGTTCATGGGGTGAGTCTGACCCTTCTCAGCCTGGCTCTGTCTCAGCTGAATGAGAGGAAGAAGTGGAAATAGAAAGGGTTGGATGTGGAGAGCATGTCTTGGTGGGATGGTTTGCATACCCAGCCCCCAGCACTGAGCAGGCTGGGAAGGGAGATGGAGCAGGGCTGGGAGATAGAGTTAACTGAGAGTCAGCAGACCTGCTGGCTGATGTGGGCAGAGCTGAGGCAGTAAGAAGCCTGGCCTAGGGGTGGTTTGACGTGCCAAACGCTGCCCTGCATGTTTGGGACAGAGCTCTGAGAAGAAGGTACAGAATATCTCTGGGTGAGCATATGGCCCTTTGCTGCTTTTGCATCTGCTGCCCACCCCTGGGATGGTCACAGGTCAGACATGTCAGTTAGGAGGGGGGCTGATGACCATAAAAACCTCCTCTTGCCTGTGGCTTCTTTTGCCTCTCCTCTCTTTCCCCTCTGTTTATGGCAGCATGCATCTCCCAGCACACTGCTCCCGTTTCTCTCCTCCCACTACATCCCCATCTGGCTACTGGAGGCCAAACACTGCCTGTTCCATGGGGACAGTAGGGACCTGGGATGACTTTTCTCCTCCCCACTCCTCCTTGGGCTCTGCCACTGTCTTTCTCTCTGGTCTAATTCTTGTATCGCTCCAGAACTAGACTATCCAACTGGGGAAAGAACAATTATCTGGGAGAAGGGGCTGAAAGCCTGGAACACAGGAGGAGTTTCAGCTCTTTTATTTGGGGCCAGGGCAATGTGAGCCAAGTGAGGTCTTTCAAGCCTGGACCTTGAAATCTGGGGTCCCACTCAGGACTTGTAAAAATTAGAAAGCCAGGTCTTTACTGTGAGTTAAATCAGTACTTCTTCAAATGAGATTTATTAATTTACATCGTTTGAGGGCCTTCCCCAGCATGAGACTGGGGGAAAAGCAGCATGTTAGAGTTGCTGGTAGCTTTTTGAGTGTTATATGTCCTTTTGTCTTCCCCGTTGCAGGACCACAGCACCCCCATCTTTTTTCCAGCCCTCTGTCAAATGTCTTCTGTTCCCATCCCTTGGACATCTTGACTTTTTGGTTCATTAAATAGAGGTGGCAAAGGTTGAAGCTGCTGGTAAATAGGCCAGCGTGGGAGACTGAAGGCTCATTCCAGAGCAATATTCAACAGCTCCACCTCTGCCTCAACAGGATCTTCTTCCAAAGCCCCAATCCCAGTGAACATGGCTTTCCCTTCTCAGGGCTGTGGCTTTCCCTCTGCAGCCAGTGCTGAGCTGATGGGGCCAGTGGACCACACATGGAATGTGAGTGTAGGTGGCTTGGAGCTCACTGTGAGATGCAAACAGTGTTTGCTCTGCAGGCTTCGCTCTGGTTCAGAGACAGTGGCAACCTGTCCTTTCTGGCTTCCCCTTTGGAGAACTGTGCCTAGGAACCTGCTCCCTTAGCCCACCTCCCAGCTCCTCATGTCCCATAGTAGTCAGGTGCTGCTGGAATGTGCATGTGCCCTTATCAAACAGGCAGCCCTTGATAGTTTCTCTTTCTTCTGGGCTTAACCTGCCTAAGTCTTTTTGGGGCGAGATACGATATGCGACTTGACAGCAATTCGAGGTGAGATTTTTTCCTCCTGGGAAAGCGTGGTAAGAAATTAAGCTTTGCAGGTTTTCTGCCCAGTGGACCAAGGAAAGAAAAGTCCTTGGTGAACTTGGGCTGGGTCTGGGGACAGGAGAGCTGCTGCTGTGATTTGTGGCTATTCTCTCTGCAGCACTGCCTCCGTACTCACAAGTGAGAGGCAAGTGGTTTTGACACCTCTTTATGACCTGGGAGCCACAGGGAAGTGGTGGTGACTTGTGTTCTGGAAAGACAAGGTCATCAACAAGGGTGGTGCAAGCATCTTTAGTTCGTCTGACCCTACTAGAATCCAAATATTTTCAGTTCATAGGAATTAAAGTGAATATCATAGTTTTAGGCTACTGGCTATTTGAATCTGGTTGCTTCCCAAGGTGATGTACAATACAGGGATATTATGGGGAAAGCTGTTGATAAGAGCAACAGTGAAAATGGATGTCTGGTTTCAAGCCTATCTGTCCTACAACCTTCAGGGCCTGCCAGGGGACGTGTTTCCTGGGCTGTGAAAAACCAATATGGGACACAATCATATATCAGTGATTATATCGATCATTGTCTCAGACCCATTCAGTCCAAGGACACCAGCACCTTTTGGAGAGGAAGTGTTGCTCCTGCTCTAGGAGTCTGGGGAGGGTGTTGAATGC